GATGTATAACGTGTTTGATTAAAATAATTTCAGATAGAATAATGATTGACCCAATGTACGTGGTCATATCCATCCATTCCGCGAATTTAAAAAGAGAAAGTAATCTAAGAGAGAAGTTTGGCTATTGCATACAACAAGTAATAATTACTCCGAAAATAACCAAAGAATAATCAACATCTCGAACTAGACTAAAAGTTTCAAACACAAAATAAAAACCCTTTTATGGAACGGTAAAATGATAAACCCTTCGACGTAGAATAATAAACCCTTTTCATGCAAGGGTATAATAATAAACCCTTCACCGTAGAATAATAAACCCTTCACCGTAGAATAATAAACCCTTTGAATGAAAGGGTAGAATAGGAAACCCTTCATCGTAGATTAATAAACCCTTCTCCTTAAATTCTGGTAGAATAAACCCTTATTATTTTAAAATATCCTTCGTTCAATAAACCCTTTTTCGCTAGTCATAAACCCTTTTTATTTTTAAATACCCTTTTTCTACGAAACCCTTTCGCATAAAAATCCTTTAAGGATTTAACACACCAGCATAAACCCTTGAAGGGTTTAGGAAGATTTTCCTAAAGTACTAGGGTTTATTATTCTACGAATTTTTTTTACAGTGTAGGCGACTTTTACTCGTTGATAACGACCAACAGGCTGCTTGTTTGTGAATGTATTTCACTGATGAATCAGCATGAATACGAAAATATTTGTTCATTTGTTGTGGATTTATTTTGTCGTATATTCGACAGCCTTTGAAATTTTGTTTTGATATATTAGGAAGGTTATTTGCTATAATATTGCCTTCTTCTTCTTCCTCATCTTCATCAAAAATACTGGATAACATTTGATCTTCGTCGTCAAATGCTACTAAAACATCCTCGTTGTCCTCGAATTCATCCTCATCTGAATCGTAGTTAGAATCATCATCGTCCGTGTAATCTACTATTTTTGAAGATGATTTACTTAAAATCGTTTTGATAAATTGACTTAATTTAGGTAATGAATAAATATTTTCATTTTTCAATAGTTGAGTCATATTAACCATTCCAACATATTTTTTAGCTGATTCAAATGCACGACAGATAATTTTTCAATATCATATTCTGCTAGATTTAATTCTTTTATATTATTAATAGAAAATCAATATGTTTTTTTTTATCATTCTTATGATGTTGTGGAGACTGAAAAGTGTAATCTCCCATTTGACTACCACGACTTTCTATTGAACTAAGAAGGGATGTCTTTTCGCATCTTTTCATAAATGATTTGACACTAAAGTTGGCGATTGAAGAGAATGAACCGTTCAATGAACGAGCAAGTCGAAAAGTGTTCTCATAAATCTGTGAATTAAGACCAAATGTATTGAGTGCATGAATTGGTTATTGTTTCTTAATAACTATCAGAATTATATAAACTAATGTATGTGTATTGATTTCAATGCATCACAAAGCTGGTTCTGTAATAAAAGTTTTCTCGTTGATTTTTTTTTGTTGAATGGGAATTATTATTATTACTATTGTTGGCGTTATTGTTGATGTTTGTTATGTCTAGGTACTGTATCCATGAAAATCATAATCGGCATACAAAGACTACAGTCAATATATGATATAATCGTTCTTCAATTGTAGTTCATTTGTTTACAAATCCAGATATAATCAAATTTAATATAGTTAAATATACATATGTACCTTTAGCATTTTCATTTCTATTCAATAAAGCTAACACTGTTTCAGAAGATATTCGTAAACACGAAGCGAAATTTTGTCGATCTTTAGAATTAAGATCAGATTTGATTAAATTATGTTTGATTTTGCTTTTTCATTCAGTTAAACCGATAAGATCTTTAATATCAATTGAAAAATCTCCCATTCTGAAGTTTGCTACTGTAGAAAGTCGATTGAGAATTTTTGTTGCAAGATGTATCACATCTTGCATAAAAAAAAATTTGTTGTTGCTTCATAAAAAACCAACACCATTGCTCAGGTATTCTTATATCAAATTGATCATTATACTTGAATAAATTTAAACTTGGCAATTCGCCAAAAAAACGATAATTTAATCTCATTGCTCTAAGATAACGAGAATCACAATCAGTACTAAAACCTATTACTCTTAAACCTTGAATCAAGCTCTCATTATAAATAAATAACTATCTTTTAAAAGCATCTACCTCTTCGAATGTGTTGTTCGACCCATAAGCACATAAAATGAAAGAAGGAGTAGATGATTTCAAAGATTTTGCTATATGAAGATCAATAAATTTTGATGTATCTGTTTCATCAAGTCAATTTTTTAATACTTTGAAAGTTTCTGTCTGAAAAAAATCCGATTGTGGTACTCCATCAACTAATGGTGATGAAAAACCTATAAAAAAATTAGATTGTGCGTCATAATCAATACAAGATATTGAACGAGTTGCATCTTCAGCAACAAAAATATAATTAAAATTGGTTGATTGTGAATATTCTTTTAACAAATTAAACCGAAAATTACATTCAATCATCTTTAATTCTTGATTTATTATCAAGAATTCTAAATTAGTTATTCGAGGTAATGCTAATGGTAAATTAAGGCGAAGGAATTCATAACAATGTAGACCACCAAAAATGAATATTAATAAAGCAAATTCGGGTGTCTGATCACCATAACGATATTTTTAGTTTTTTTCTAAATTTCGAAAAATGTTGTTGATCCATGGAAACAAAACTGGAATACGAGTTACTTCCGATGAACTAGATGTTTGCCTCCACATTTCTAAAAGTTTTGCATGAATTTGATTTTTCATATACTTATTTGAAAGGTCAACATTTTTTAATAGACGAATTTTTCTATGATTTCACTAATATTAACAAACGTTCTAATAAATTTCGATGACCAAATCGATGATGAAATTTTCCATCAGTTATTTCAAAACCAAGTGATTTTTTCAAATTACTCAAATCAATAATATCAATTGTTATTGACGAGAATGAAGTCATATGTCACATAGACTGAACTTTATAAAGCTCACATAAATTTTTATTTAATGAATTTTCAAGAAAATTGTAGAAGTTATCATCACATAAGTTCATCATATCATTTGTTAATTCATTAAGTTGAAAGATATCCATTGCAAATATTAAAAAATAATATTCTTGTTTATAAGATATTGCTAATTCTAGACTTAACTATAACAAGAACACTGATACTGAAAAGAGAAAATGAATCAGTCCATATAATGTCAAGTCGATATTTTTTTTATTCAACTAAAAACAGTTACAAGTACAAATAGTTTCGTTTCAAACACAAAAAGAATTATGTTTTTTCTTTTCATTTAACTATAACATCAATATGACTACAAAAAACTCTTTTTACCAAGAAAAAAGTGTAATATGAACACAAATAATAATAATAAATGTTACATATGAGAAAAAATATGATACTAAATGTTTTTAATGATATTTACAGGGCTTAAGATAATAAACAACCATCAATTTCTTTGTAAAATAATGTTAAAACTAATTCTCTAGTCCAGAAACAAATTACTATTATTCAAGGGAGACAATCGATTCTTTTTTACGTTCATTTTGATACTCCTTGAAGATACTCCTTGAAGAGACTAGTCTTGACGATGATCAAGATCGTTTGGAAATTATAAATGTTGGTGTTTTGTTCTTCTTCGACTTTGTACTTGATGATTTTGAAGAACGATTTAATTGATTTTCTTTATTAACCAACTTATTTTCTTTTGCATTTCTCTAAATGTAAAAACATTCATAAAAATTATTTTCAGTATGAGAAATACTCACTATACCCAGTAGTTTTACACATTTTTTTCTCTTTTGAATGACGATAAAGTGATGATAATTTGAAAAAACCAGCTTCTGTCAATGATAATTCAAATAGAATACCGCATTGGCATGATAAAACACAAATATATGAATTATTAATTGATTTGTTGATCTCTAATAAGTACTGTGCACCTTCATCTAAGGATGAATTATTATTATTAATTCCACTCCATCAATTACTGATTCAATGTTTAATATCAAGTATATGATCGCTTTCATTCATTTTGTTCTGTATAGGTGTTAATCTTGACCGTGTTTGATTTGTATCGCTGCTCGACGAGGTGAATGATGCTGCTGATGGTAGAATTGTTTCATTTTGTGATTGTGTTTGATTAATAGATATTGATGTATCAATCCTGAATGATGAACGTTGACCTGAAGATCGTTCCTTTTTTTTCTTGTTCTTGTTTGATATTCAATAACTGGATCAAATTATTAATTGCAAGTTTAACACCTATACAGAACAAAATGAATGAAAGCGATCATATACTTGATATTAAACATTGAATCAGTAATTGATGGAGTGNTATTGCCTTCTTCTTCCTCCTCGTCGTCACCAAAAATACTGGGTAACATTTCATCTTCATCATCAAATGCTGCATGTACTGAACTATCTTCATTATCTTCGAATTCATCTTCATCTGAATCATAGTTAGAATCATCATCTTCCGTGTAATCTACTATTTTTGAAGATGATTTACTTAAAATTGTTTTAATAAACTGACTTAAATCAGGTAATGAATAAATATTTTTATTTTTTAATAATTGACTCATGTTAACCATTGAAGCTAATTTTTGAGCTGATTCAAATGCACGATAGATAATTTTTTCAATATCATATTCTGTTAGATTTAATTCTTTAATATTATCAATAGAATAATCATATGTGTCTTTATCATTCTTATGATGCTGTGGAAACTGAAAACTATAATCTCCTTTTTGATTACCACGACTTTTTATTGAGTTAACAACGGATATTTTTTCACATCTTTTCATAAATGATTTAACACTGAAGTTGGTAATTGAAGAGAATGAACCGGTCAACGAACGAGCAATACGAAAAGTGTTCTCACAAATTTGTGAGTTAAAACCAAATGTATTGAGTGCATCAATTGGTAACTTTTTTTTAATAACTAGAAGAATAATATAAACTAATGTATGTGCATTGATTTCAATGCACCAGAATGCCGGTTTTGTAATAAAAGTTCTCTGTTTAAATTTTTTTGGTGATTGGGAATTATTAATATTATTATTATTATTATTATTACTATTAATGTTATTATTATTTTTATTATTACTATTGATGTTATTGTTGCTATTTTTTACATCTAGGTACTGTATCCATGAGAACCATAATCGGCATACGAAGACTACAGTCCAAATATTAAATAAACGTTCTTCAATTGCAGTTGATTTATTTATAAATCCAGATATAATCAAGTTTAATAAAGTTAAATATACATATGTACCTTTCGAATTTTCATTTCTGTTCAGTAAAGCTAACACTGTTTCAGAAGATATTCTTAAACATGAAGCAAAGTTTTGTCGATCTTTAGGATTAAGATCAGATTTGATTAAATTATGTTCTAATTTGCTTTTTGATTCAACTAAATCAATAAGATCTTTAATATCAACTGAAAAATCTCCCATTCTTAAATTTGCCACTGTAGAAAGAAGTCTATTACGAATTTTTGTTGCAATATGTATTGGATCTTGCATGAAAAGAAAAGTTTGCTGTTGTTTCATAAAAAACCAAGACCATTCCTTAGGTATTTTGATATCGAATGGATCATTATGCTTAAATAAATTTAAATTTGGTAATTCAGCAAAAAAACGGGAACATAATCCCATGGCTCTAAGGTAACGAGAATCACCATCAGTGCTAAAACCTATCACTCTTAAACCTTGAATTAAACTTTGATTATAAATAAATAACCAATTTTTTAAAACATCTATTGCTTCGAACTTGTTGTTCGAACCATAAGCACATAAAATGAAAGGAGGAGAAGATAATTTTAAAGATTTTGCCATATGAAGATTAATAAATCTTGATGTATCTATTTCATCAAACCAATTTTTTAATATCTGAAAATTTTCTGTCTGAAAAAAATTGAATTGTGGTAATCCATTAACTAATGGTGCTGATAAACCAATAAATGAATTAGATTGTGCATCATAATCAATACAAGATATGCAACGAGTTGCATCTTCAGCAACAAAAATATAATTACAATTAGTTGATCGTGAATACTCTGTTAACAAACTAAATCGGAATTCGCATTCAATCATTTTAAATTCTTGAGTTCTTATCAAAATTTCTAAATTAGTTATGTGAGGTAATGCTGATGGTAAATTAAGGTGAAGGAATTCATAACAATTTCGACCTCCAAAAATGAATATTAATAAAGCAAATTCTTGTATCTGATCATCATAACGATATCTATTTTTTGTTTTTTCTAAATTTTGAAAAATGTTATTGATCCATGGAAACAAAACTGGAATACAGGCTACTTTCGACGAACTAGATGTTTGTTTCCACATTTCTAAAAGTTTTTCATAAATTTGATTTTTAATATTTTTATTTGAAAGATCAAAATTTTTAACAGATAAATTATTTTTTGATTTCACTAATATTAATAAACGTTCTAATAAGTTTCGATGACCAAGTCGAAGATGAAATTTTCCATCAGTTGTTATAAAACCAAGTGATTTTTTCAAATTATTCAAATCAATAACATCAACAGTAAGTATTTCAATTATTTGTTCAATTGTTATTGATGACAATGAAGACATATCTTGAATAGCCTGAACTTGAAAAAGCTGACATAAATCTTTATTTAGTAAATTTTCAAGAAAATTATAGAAGTCATCATCACATAAGTTCATCATATCATCTGTTAATTCGTTAAGTTCAAAGATATTCATTGTAAATATTGAAAAAGTAATATTCCCATTTATAAGAAATTGCTAATCGTACACCTAACTATAATTAACACATCGATATTGAAAAGAGAAAATGAATCTGTCTATTTAATGTCAAGTCGATACTTTTTTATTCCAGATAAAAACAGTTACAAGTATAAATAGTTTCGTTTCAAATACAAAAAATTATCTACTTTCTTTTCATCTAATTGTAATATCAATATGACTACAAAAAAAAATTTTAATTAAGAAAACAAGTGTAATATGAACAAAAATAATTTAAAAAATGTTACATATATAGTCTACGACAAAAGTTTAAGCCAGATTAGTTTTTTAATATTTTTTTGCATTTTTTTTATTATTTTTTTTTCATATTAAGAGGTACAATCTGCATTAATTGGTGATATAGATAGTACGAGAGGTCAGCTACATGATGTGCTATAGATCGAAGCTCTGTCTATCTATATAGATTTATTCATGATTAAAATAATTTTTTCCATGCAAAAATAGGTTTAATTGCTTTCAGTATTTCGCATTTCCTAACAAGAGATTTGTGTTAAAATGAAAAAAAAATATCAATCGATAGAGAATTTCACGCTCTATCAGTTTATAAAAAAAACGATTTTTCCCATAGTCGATCTTCATCTCAATAACCTAATTTTAGTGAGAATAGTCAGTAAAAATGGAAAGATGAAAGTACTTCCTATAAGCCGCCTCTTATTACAATATTTTATACGCTACTGGAAAGAGCATTCAACGCTGAACAAAATGATGTATTAGAACTTTGACTATTATCCATTTCTCATGTTCGCTTTACTAGAAGAAAGTTTAGAGAAACATAACTAGCATCTCTTTTTTTTTAATTATTTTGACGGGGAAAGATGCTGATTGTTCTCACTGAAATTAGATTATCGAAATGAAGATCGACTATGGGAAAAATCGTTTTTTTATAAACTGATAGAGCGTGAAATTCTCTATCGATTGATATTTTTTTTTCATTTTAGCACAAATCTCTTGTTAGGAAATGCGAAATACTGAAAGCAATTAAACATATTTTTGCATGGAAAAAAATTATTTTAATCATGAATAAATCTATATAGATAGACAGAGCTTCGATTTATAGCACATCATGTAGCTGACCTCTCGTACTATCTATATCACTAATTAATGCAGATTGTACCTCTTAATATGAAAAAAAGTAATAAAAAAAATGCGAAAAAATATTAAAAAACTAATCTGGCTTAAACTTTTGCCGTAGACTATAGGACAAATATAATATACAATGTTTTTATTGATATTTTCATACCTTAAGATAACAAACAAACATCAATTTCGTCGTAAAATAATGTTACAACTAATTCTCTAGTCCAAAAACACATTACTATTTTTCGAGGAAGACGATCGATGCTTTTTTACGTTCATCTTGCCACTGCTCGCAGATACTTGTGTTGATGGTGATCGAGGTCGTTTGGAAGTTGTAGATGTTGATGTTTTCTTCTTCTTCGACTTTATACTTGATGATTTCGAAGTACAACTTAATTGATTTTCTTTATTAGTCGAGTTATTTTCTGTTACATTCGTCTAAATGTAAAGATATTCATAAAAATTATTTTTAAGATGAGAAATACTCACTGTATCTAGTAGTTTTACACATTTTTTTTCTTTTAAATGACGATAAAACGCTGATAATTTGAAAAGACCTTCTGTAAATGGTAATTTAAATCGAATACCGCATTGGCATGATAAAACACAAGTATATGAATTATTAATTGATTTGTTGATCTCTAAAAAGTACTGTGTACCTTCATCTAACAATGAATTATTATTATTATCAACTCCATCCCACCATTTACTGATTTGATTTTTAATATCAAGTATATGATCCATTTCATTCATTTTGTTCTGAATTAATGGTAATCTTGATCGTGTTGGATTTGTATCGGTACTCGACGAGGTTAATGATGTAGCTGATAATAATTTTGTTTCATTTTGTGATTGTGTTTGATCAATAGATGTTGATGTATCAATACTGGATGATGAATGTTGATCAGATGATCGTTTCTTTTTTTTTTTCTTGTTCTTGTTTAATATTCAATAACTGGATCAGATTATTGATAGCAAGTTTAACACCTAATCTAACTTCGAACCGCTTATTGGCAAGTTCAAAGCAACATAAGTTTTTCAATTTGTTGATATCCTCGGACTCATGTTGTAAAACAGATAATATATCATCAGCTGTGGTGTTTAAAAGGTGTGATCCATTTCGAATTGCTTGAAAACTAAATAATTGTGCAAGATCATTACCATACCAATGCTCAACAAATTCATAAAATTTATCTTGATTATAACTAAAGATATCATCTGGTAAACTGTTGCTGTTTCGTTTTTCAGGAATTACTAATGACATGAGAAATTGAATATTTATCTTAAATAAATAGATTCATTATGAAACATATACACAGATCATCAATCTACATTGAAATAAATAATAGCATACGATAAGAGATCTGCATATGTGCTATTCGGTTGATGGTGAATCTATCACAGAAAACCATAACGTATGGGTATTTTCCAATTTTTCTCTGAACTACTGCTACATTCTAATTTATAAAGAGTTAATGTTGTCAGGCAAGATATGCTATGAAGATTGTTATTTAATTTTTAACTCAAAAGCTCTTCTTCATGTTACAAAAGACCGTGGCAAGGAGTTTCTTTTCCCAGTAAAGTTGAGTTAAAAAGTAGATAAAAATAGGTAAAAAGCTGATTGGGCACACAGAATGTTCATTAAGATTGGATACACAAGTGAATCTATAGAGAGCGCTGTTAGTCCATCATAATAATAGTAGTTAAGCGTATAATATCTCTTGAACTCTAATAATACCTCAGTATTCGTCCGACATCTTTGCAACACATCAGCACTTTCTCAGCACCTTTTCAGCACCTCAGCATTTTCTCAGCACTTTCTCAGCACCTCAGCACCTGCTCAGCATCTGAGCACCTGTTCAGCACCTATCAGCATTTTAGGTGCACGATACTAGCACTTTTCCCCTTGGTTATATCCTTGGTTGTTGGTGATTGTTATGTTTTGTTTTTCTCAAAATAAAACACATTAAACATAATATTATATTTAATTTATGTATATGTTACGATGACAAAGCAAGGTCGACAATCTACGTAAGCTCTCTAATTCTTAAGCAGACTAAATAATTAGTTCTACTATACATTCCCCAAACGAGAGTCTTACAACAAAGGTCATCATTTCGTCTACCTAGTCCACAATGCCAGAACACATACAGCAGCTGAATTTAGTGTCAATGACTTTGGAATGAAGCCCGGTACTAGATGTCCTGTTGATACGATTGATTATTTTGATGAACAAAATAACAAACAAACTATTGAATGTTATGATGATGATGGAAATAGTAAAGGTTTATTGTCTTTGGCATATGAACTGAATGTTTTTGTTCCAAGAAAATGCAAACTCAATGAATTAAAATTATTGTTGTCTGAACATGTAGCTTTCAAAACCGTGAGTAGAGATTCAGTTTTCTTGTTCAATACAAGAAACGGCGTACGTCTTATGCTTACTCATTTTCAAAATTATAGGTCAGCAAACTTGAAAAATTAGCCGCTGAATATAATGTCAAAATAGTTTTTACGCCCAAATTCCATTGTGAAACTAACTCAATTGAAGGATATTGGTGTCACTCAAAACAATATATAAGAAAGCATACGGAATCAAATTTTTCAAAGATTAATTAGTTTGCTACCGGAAGCAAAAGCAAATTTTATTGAAAAACAAATTCATCTGAAGCTATTTCGTCGATTCTGGCGCACAATTAAAGCATATGACGATGGAAAAGTTTATTGTGAAGTATTAAGAATGGTTTTTAGTGGATTATGTGAGGACAGAATCATCAGTCATCGTAAAATCACAAACGCTAACATTGATGATTAATACGTGTAGTTCTAATATATTTTTTATTTGTTCTGTTAGTACTATATTGAACTGTTCTATTTTCTAGATTTTATTCAGGTTTAGCTGTTTTTTCATTCTAGCAAGTCAATAAAAGAATATAGAAAGTGGTAATGCCACATAAACCTCAGTGGCAATAGAATTTTGCGCAATGATGTTTTTCTAAAATCCCTATAGTGGTCTCCTGTATATCTAGAAACCATTTCCATCGAATCTTCCATAGTTTTTAATCTATTTTGGCTTATTTCTACGAGTTTTGAATGAGAAATGTAGTTTTTATTCGAAAATCACTCGGCCGATTTTTGAGTGTTCCTATTGCAGACGGGTTTTCTCAGCACAGAAAAAGAAATTATAAAAAAAA